TTTTTTGAGACGGAGTTTCGCTCTTGTTGCCCAGGCTGGAGTGCAGTGGTGCGATCTCAGCTCACTGCAACTTCCGCCTCCCAGGTTCAAGCAATTCTGCCTCAGCCTCCCGAGTAGCTGGGATTATAGGTATGCACCACCGCACCCAGCTAATTTTTGTATTTTTAGTAGATATGGGGTTTTACCATGTTGGCCAGGCTGGTCTTGAACTCCTGACCTCAGGTGATCCACCCACCTCTGCCTCCCAAAGTGCTGGGATTACAAGTGTGAACCACTGCGCCCGGCCTCTTTCCTTTCCTTTCTTTAAATGTTAACCACCGCCCGGCCTCTTTTCTCTCCCTCCCTCCCTCCCTCCCTCCCTCCCTTCCTTCCTTCCTTCCCTCCTTCCTTCCTTTCTTCTTTTTTGATGCAGTCTTGTTCTGTCGCCAGGCTGGAGTGCAGTGGCGCCATCTCGGTTCACTGCAACCTCTGCCTCCCAAGTTCAAGCAATTCTCCTGCTCAGCCTCCTGAGTATCTGGGACTACAGGCATGCACCACCACTCCTGGCTGAATTTTTGTATTTTAATATAGATGGGATTTCACCATGTTGGCCAGGATGGTCTCGATCTCCTAACTTCGTGATCCGCCCGCCTCAGTCTCCCAACGTGCTGGGATTACAGGCATGAGCCACCAAGCCTGACCCACCCCCTTTATTTCTTCCCACTCTGCACTTCCCTCTGGTATTCATTCCTGTCTGCTCACCTCCCTCCCTATTTAAGCTGCAAGAGAGCAGGGTCTTTGTAGCATTGACTGCTGTATCTCCAGGGTCTAAGATGCATTTGGTACATAACAAATGCTCAATAATTATTGGCTGAATGAATGATATCTACCGACAGGGAAGATGATCAGGGCAAAGACTCAGAAGGGCTCAGCTGTATTGCCTAGGGTCCTCAGCAAGGCTTACAGGACATGAGTATGGGTGTGGTCTTAGGGGCAGGGAAAAGTTTGACTCACCGCAGCCTGGTTGGTTTGCTGGTAGAAGGCCTGCCCAAAGACAGCCATGACAAAGAGGTTGATGAGAAAGGAGACAGAGAGGGCGGCGGTGGCCTCAATCAGAAAGTACATGTTGGCTTCTCGGATGTCCACTCGGCGGGCCCGGTCTATCTCTCGAGACTATGAAGGTCAAAGGGGGAGGGAAGGGCCAAGGTCCCTCAGAGCTGCCGCAGTGTCCCCACCCTCACATTTCTTTCTTTCTTTTTTTTTTTCCTGAGGCAGAGTCTCACTCTGTCGCCCAGGCTGAAGTGCAATGGCGCCATCTCAGCTCACTACAACCTCCGCCTCCTGGATTCAAGCAATTCTCTTGCCTCAGCCTCCCAAGTAGCTGGAATTACAGGTGACTTCCACCCTGCCCAGCTAATTTTTTTGTATTGTTAGTAGAGACAGGGTTTCATCATGTTGGCCAGGCTGGTCTCGAACTCCTGACCTCAGGTAATCCGCCTGCCTTGGCTTCCCAAAGTGCTGGGATTACAGGCATGAGCCACTGCGCCTGGCCATTATTTTATTTTTTAGAGACAGGTCTTGTTCTATCACCCAGGCTGGAGTGCATGAGTCACTGCAGCCTCCAATTCATGGGCTCAAGTGATCCTCCTGTCCCAGCCTACTGAGTAGCTGGGACCACAGACACACACCACACCCCGTTAATTTTTAAATTTTCTGTAGAGACAGGGTCTTGCTGAAGCTGGTCTTGAACTCCTGGGCTCAAGCAATTCTCCTGTCTTGGCCTCCTAAAGTGCTGGATTACAGGCATGAGCCACTGCTAGGGACCCAAGCCTTGTTCATTTCTGCCTCATGGTCTTTGCACCTGCTTTCCTTCTGCTTGTAATATAATATCCCTGATCTGCCTCCCCAACTTTCAGTCATTCTCTGTCATCTTTCTCTGTTTTGTTTATTTCAGAGTCCCTTTCACAATCTTTTTTTTTTTTTTTTTTGAGATGGAGTCTTGCTCTGTCACCAGGCTGGAGTGCAGTACTACAATCTTGGCTCACTGCAACCTCCATCTCCTGGGTTCAAGTAATTCTCCTGCCTCAGCTTCCCAAGTAGCTGGGACTACAGGTGCACGCTACCACGCCAGCTAATTTTTGTATTTTTAGTAGAGATGGGGTTTCACTACGTTGGCCAGGATGGTCTCAATCTCCTGACCTCATGATCTGCCCACCTCAGCCTCCCAAAGTGCTGGCATTACAGGTGTGAGCCAACATGCTCGGCTAATTTTTTTTTTTTTTTTTTGAGACAGAGTCTTGCTGTGTCGCTCAGGCTGGAGTACAGTGGTGGGATATCAGCTCACTGCAGCCTCTACCTGTCCGGCTCAAGCCTTGGCCTTCCGAGTAACTAGGACTACATGTATACACAATGCCTAGCTAATTTATTTTTTATTTTTTGTTGGTAGAGATGGGGTTTCACCATGTTGCCCAGGCTGGTCTCCAACTCCTGGGCTCAAGCGATCCACCTGCCTCAGTCTCCCAAAGTGTTGGGATTACAGGCATGAGCCACCTCACCTGGCCCTATCATTTTTTTGGCTCTATCTTTGCTCATCACGACCTCCGCCTCGTGGGTTCAAGCGATTCTCCTCCCTCAGCCTCCCGAATAGCTGGGATTACAGGTTGGTCTCGAACTCCTGACCTCGTGATCCTCCCACCTCAGTCTCCCAAAGTGCTGGGATTACAGACCTGAGCCACCGCGCCCAGCCTATAATTCTTTCCTCTGTTTACTTTCGGGGCCAGCATGGCTCCGACTGAGTTAGGGGTCTACCTTCCCCTCCCCTCTGCTCACCTTGACCAGGGCCGAGTGCAGGTAGATGTTGTGGGGCATGATGATGGCGCCAACAATGCCCACCGCCTGCAGCAGCTCGGGGTGGCCGCAGCCCGGGCACAAGGGCAGGAACAGACCCCGAAGAAGCGCTCCCTGAGCAGGACGCGCCACCACATACTGCAGGGAGGAGCCCGGTCATGACAAGCCCCGCCCCCTCGCAACCACGCCGCGGCCACCGCTTCTCAGCCTCCATGCCCATCCCAGTCCCCCGCAGCTAGGGGGCAGAGGGAAGGGGAGAGAAATGATCTTGGGAGGTGCGCAGGGGGTTGAAGCACTGGCTTCCTACCTCATAGCCAAAGGTCAAGGCCATAATGGTTATAAGCAGTCCAAAAAAAGCCTCCAGCTTCCGCAACCCTACAGGGCAGAACAAACAAACCAAACAAACTAAAGAAAAACATCTGTAACATTAACAATTCGTAATGGCTAATACTACCAGCGCTTCCAGGCACAGTGCCAAGCGCTTAACATACGTGACCTCACTCAGTCTTTACGATCACCCTCTGATGTCTGTGCTATTACTTCCCCATGTTACAGGTGAAGGAAGAGATGTTCACGTAACTTTCCAGAGGCCACCCAGCGAGGGTGAGGGGGCTCAGGTGCGCCCCCAGGCAGCCCGATGTCAGAGCCCTTCTCCTAGTCCAGCACGGTCACCACCACCACTCCCCTATGAGGTGGGGTGTGCACCCACCATAGTTATCGAGGAAAAGGAAGAAGAAGGTGTCCACGATGGTGATGAGGACGCCACCCCAGAGCGGGATTCTGAAACCAGAGTGGCCAGGGTCAGCCCAGCCTGGTCCAGGAGTCACTAACTCCTAGGTAGCCTCAGGGCTGGAGACAGGAATCTGGCCTCCTGGGAGCAGGACCCCAAGCGCCCCCAGACAGCTAGGGCAAGGGGACTGGGAGTGTGGCATAGAACACTCGAGGCAGGGCATAGCTAGAGCTCTCCTAGCCTAGCACCCGGTGTGGCAGGGAGTTTGGGGCTGCAGTCCCAAAGTCCTGCATGACTCATATCTGCGTGACTTTAGACAAATCACTTTACATTTCTGGAAAATAGAGCAGCAGCCCTATGTCAGAGGGGACAGCAGGATAACATAGACTCGGGGAGGGACAAGGCGGGCGGTGGGGGAAGTAGCAGCAGCTGTTCCTGGCCTCTGCCTGAAGGGCTGGGTCACACTGGGGTGGTACCGTCCAGCTGAGAGCAGATTGAATGCAATGGCTGTGCCGATGACTTCCTGCATGTCGGAGCCCACAATGGCTAGCTCGATGGTCAGCCAGAGGAGGGTACGGGGCACCTATGGGGAGGAGATCATCCTTCATCAAGGGTGGGCGGGTTATTTGTCTGTGGTCTCAGCCTTATGTGCATCTCTCCATACTCCTTGTGCTGCTGGGCCAGAAGCCTGCAAACTACATTTACAAGACAGTCTTGCCAACTGGCTTCCATTTTCGTTATGTAGGAAGAGCTTACAGGAGATGGAAAGGCAGAGAGAAACCTTTTTGGTGGTGGTGGTGTTGTTGTTGTGACACTCACAACAGCCAAGTCCCCAGGGTTGTGAGTATTTTTTTTGGTTTGTTTTTTTTTGAGATGGAGTCTTGCTCTGTCACCCAGGCTGGAGTGCAGTGGCTCGATCTCTGCTCACTGCAAACTTCGCCTCCCAGGTTCAAGCAATTCTCCTGCCTCTGCCTCCCAAGTTGCCAGGACTACAGGGGCACGCTGCCATGCCCATCTAATTTTTTTGTATTTTAGTAGAGACAAGGTTTCACTGTGTTGCCCAGGCTGGTCGCAAACTCCGGAGCTCAGGCAGTCTGCCCGCCCCGGCCTCCCAAAGTGCTGGGATTACAGGCGTGAGCCACTCCGCCTGCCTGGCTGAGATAAGCGATTTTTCCCCCTGATTCTGATGGTATTTCTAGCAGTGGCACGAGGCAACCTGTGCTCTGGTAGCACTAGCGGCCATTTCATTGGCATCAGTAATGCTTCCAGGGGCTCAGCAGCAAAGGATGACTCGGGCTTGTGCCAGGAACGCAGCAGGTTTTCTGATCTTTGGGTGACACCCTCTCCCGTTGCTCCTCCAGCCCTCCCAAACCTTTCAATCCCTGCATTCAATACCTTTGAAATGTCTAGTGATATAATTTCTGTTTTCCTAACTGGACACTCACAACAGGGTCCATCCCAGCCAATGACCATTCCTGAGCTGATGCCTCCCTGTTTTTTGTCTTGGACACATCACATTCCCAAATTTGAATTACCCCTTCTGTAAAATGACATGCCTCTTATGTCCCTCTAGGCTGTGTGCTGTGAGTTTGAGCCTCAGTCTTTTCATCTATCAAATGGAATTGGGGTTGGGCACGGTAGCTCATGCCTGTAATCCCAGCACTTTGGGAGACTGAGGTAGATGGATCATCTGAGGTCAGGAGTTCAAGACCAGCCTGGCCAACATGGTGAAACCCCCTCTCTACTAAAAATACAAAAATTAGCCAGGCACGGTAGTGGGCACATGTAATCTCAGATACTTGAGAGGCTGAGGCAGGAGAATCGCTTGAATTTGGGAGGTGGAGGTTACAGTGAGATGAGATCTAGCCATTGTACTCCAGACTGGGCAACTGAGCGAGACTCTGACTGAAAAAAAAAAAAATAATAACAACTACATACACAGTGAAAAAACAGATGGACTTGGGATGCCCGTGTGAGATGAAGTATTTATTTGATTGTGGAAGCTGAAAATGGCTGTTTGGGGTTTGGGGCCAGTGGTCCTCCCTGTCCAGGTCCCACAAGCTCACCTTAGGGTAGTAGAGATGGCAGACCTCGCCCAAGTCCTTGCCTGTCACCACGCCCAGACGGGCAGCCAGTCGCTGGCAGAGCAGGCCCAACACTGTGGCCCAGAGCAGCACCCAGAGAAGCTGTGAGGAGGCAGGGAGAGGCCTTCAGCCAGAGAGGCCAGCCTCAGAAAGCCCCTGAGCTGGTGGTACCCTCTAACCAAGGACATTCCTTGGGGAGAGGGTGGGAGAAATGGAGGCCCATCCTGGCTGGGCGCTGGTAGCTAACGCCTGTAACGCCAGCACTTTGGGAGGCCGAGGCAGGCGGATCATTTGAGGTCAGGAGTTTGAGACCAGCCTGGCCCACATAGTGAAACCCTGCCTCTACTAAAATCACAAAAAGTAGCCGGGCGTGGTGGTGTGTGCCTGTAGTCCCAGTTACTCAGGAGGTTGAGGCAGGAGAATCGCTCGATCCCGGGAGGCAGAGATTGCAGTGAGCCAAGATCTCTCCACTGCACTCCAGCCTGGGCAATAGAGTGAGACTCTGTCTCAAAAAATAAAATCAATCAATGAATTTTTTTTTTAAAGAGAGGTCCAATCCCCCACCCCCAACAGATGCCCAATCCCCCACCCCCCACAGATGCCCCACCTTCTGGCAGGGCTACCCTGGTAACCCTTTTCGGGCCCATTCGAACTTAACACTAGCTCCCAGGCCACACTGGAGACACATGGCCAGCAGGGGCCTCCAGCACTTAGCCTGGTCACCTCCCTCTTGAAGGTGTCCCTGCTCAGGTCCCAACTCAGTTACTTTGAATCCAGCCACGGCGCCAGCCTGAAGATCCGACTCGATGTTTCCTGGGTCCAGGAAAGCAATGCTCATGAGGAAGCCGGGCCCGGTGAAGGCCCACAGCTTCTGCAGACTGAAGGTGCCCTGTGGGGGGGTGGTGGAATAGAGTGAGGGGGTCCTGGGTATAGGGATGGTGGCACCTGGCTTTGGTCATCCCCAAGAGGACCCCCAATAGGCTCATCAGCCCAGCCCTCCCCTCTATGGCCCGTTCCTGGGTCTGCCACCCAGGGGTTGGGGAGGACACGGGTGGTGGAAGCAGCAGGCTCTGATGAGTCACAGAGGAGCTGCTTTCTGGATCCGTTAAGCTCAGCAGCCAACTTGCACCTGAACTGCCTGCCCCTCTCAAGCCCTGACTTGTCAGGGCCTCAGAGCCCCCACAGGAGCCTGTCTAGGGAGGTAAAGGGACCAAACCTCCCTGGCCCAGCTCCTTCCTCCCCAACTCCTTTTCCGACCACAGGGCCTCCTCTCTGTGGTCCGCTGAGACTATGGTTCCCCCACCCTGTTCCTGGGCATGGCCTGTCGACTTAGAAATCTGCTAAAGAGCCAGGCACGGTGGGAGGCAGAGGCGGGCATATCACGAAGTCAGGAGTTTGAGACCAGCCTTGCCAACATAATGAAACCCTGTCTCTACCAAAAACAAAAACTTAGCTGGGAGTGGTGGTGGGCGCCTGTAATCCCAGCTACTTGGGAGGCTGAGGCAAGGAAATTGCTTGAATTTGGGAGGCGGAGGTTACAGTGAGCAGAGATCGCACCATTGCACTTCAGCCCAGGCGACAGTGTGAGACTCCATCTCAAAAAAAAAAAAAAAAAAAAAAA